CGGATACAACGTTTCAGTATCGCTACTTTTTTGAGTATCAATACTTTTGACAACCCTAATATGCATGTCCTTTTTTATGCACGGTGTGAGGATCCGTACTGATAAGAGGTATTCATTGTTAAAACCGAAAAGCATAATTTTGCTACATTAATAAAAATTGTATAAGCACTACACTCATTAGATGCTGTTTATTAATGTTTGAAGTATCACCGGCTCTGATCAATGTGGAATTAGGACTGTTGTCCACTTTGAAAATGGTTTCATTTGAACGACTAAGAGAGAAGGTAAATACAGTATTTTCTTCTGAAGATATAGAATTGTGCAGAGTTAAACCCCACTCTTATATTTTTACCTACTATGCTCTCTCTGTATCAAGCAAAATAATACATTCATTAAAATATTAACTTCACTATAAAAGTGGAACATCTGGGCTGTAGTTACTCTGTGTAGCCCATTTCATGTATTTTATCTGGGACTGAAAAAAGTAATCGTATTAATTGATTATTTCAATAATCGTCAACTAATTTAGTGAGTGATTCATCATTAACTGGAGAATAGAGACTCTAAAACATAATAAAAATGTAAAATATGCCTTTCTCCGACAGAGCAACCCACTTAGATCAGTAATTATACCAAAATTTTAAAAATACAACATATATATATAATATATACTGGTAAGATAAAAAAAATGTTTTTGTCTGTCAATATTCTTCATCCAGAACTCATCAAGAGGAAATACTTTAGTATCACCTGGTTTATTTAGACATCACCTGAAGCGCTGAAGGGCCAGCTGCTTCACCTACAAGCTGCCCTGCATCATTATTACTGGATATCTGTGTTTCCTATAATCATATAATGTATAAGTGCAAGGATTAAATGTAACACAACCTTTTATCATTTTCCTATATTGCATACACAACACTGAGCAGAACTCCTGGCTGACTCAGAATATTTCGTTTTAAAAAAGAAAAAAAAAAGGTTTTTGTTTTTTAGTGCACATGATATTCCTTTTTTTTATTGGGACTAGTTTTGCAGCCCAATATTAATTGCAGTAACCGCGGCATTCTAGTGTGAATACATTTTCAATTTTGTGCTCCAAGCACAGACGGACTAGAAAACAGCCTATCAAGGAGAGAGAAGGCGGGACCTAAGGCAGAACAACCAATGAGAGTGGAGTTAAACAGCGCAGCACAGTTCCATGCGCTGCTACGTGAAAGGGACAGGAGAGACCAGGCAGAGGAACTGCGAGAGGAAAAGAAGCCACTGCTGCTATAACTACTGCTGTAAATTATAAACATGTTGCTCAAATCCAATTATTGGTAGGGACAATTAGGTTGGTTAAAAATTTTGGTAGGGACATGTCCCTATGGTCCCTATGCAAACCTACGCCCATGGTGTCAGCCATTGTTGTTGGAGGTTTTAGGATCAGGAGCAGCACAGCAGGTTAAGACTGGACTGCTGCTGCAAAGGTTGTTATGTACAATGGTAACTAGTGGAGTGGCGGCCTAGTGTTTAGGGCCTTGTGTTTGGAATCCTTAGGTTCTGAGTTCAAGCCCCACTCCCACAGACTGCCATTCTGGGTTCCTCTTAGCAAATACCCTCAATGCCACACTGCTCCCTGGGCCCCGCACAATGGCAGCCCACTGCTGCCCAAGGGTTACGTTAAATAAAGGGAGTTAATTTCATCGCTCTGTACTTGTGACAGTGTAATGACAATAAAAGCTGGGGAAAAAAAACAATCTAGGACTGGTTTATCCATTTTAGTTTATTGATATTACCAATATCTAAAAGCCCTGTGAGACAGAATCCAACAGTTTCAGACAGCATTTATTCTGGTTGTATGTATTCAGAAAGCAATAAGATGTTATGTATCAATGAAAGAAAAAAAAAAACACATATCTGTTCCCCAAAAATGGTTTTAATTTCTCTAAAATGAGAACTAAAATAGCGACTTTCACCAGTCGGCGCTCTTTAGAGCCTCTAGAGTAAAAAAAAAAAAAGCATACAAAATGTGTGTCTTTTTCTGCTTTTATTTTTGGAGATGAAAGAAAAATAAAGAATAAACAGAAGCTCTGATTACGATTGGTTAAACAGATTTTCCAATATCTTCTGAAGCAATCAAGTTTTCTTCCAGACTTTAAAAAACATTTCTTTTTGAAGAATTATTGATTGGTTGATTGACTTTATTGATCTCACAGTGGAGAAATTTACTTACATCAACTTTCTTCAAAATTAAGACATTTTTATAAAACTTGCTTTGGGTAAATGGTCTTCATTTTGTTTCACATTGATTATATTTTTTGGGTATCATTGTTCATCTCAGTTTCAAAGGTTTTTTTGTTCCTGACCTAACGACAGATCTGGAGTCATTTTCAAGCTGTGGTACTAAGAGTTGCTCCAAAAAAATGAAGACAAAACAAAACAAAAAGATTCAGCTGTAATAAAATGTTTTGCAAATATTTTAAAAGATGTTGAGGATTCTGATTACATTTTTGGGACTATTTCTTGTCTGCTTCTTTCGTTTGCTTCCCTGTTTACAGGCTGCGGCTCTTTATGCCAAAATAAAATAACAAAAGCTGCGTGTTAGGGTTCTGTTTGTGGGGAATGTTTTGTGTTTTCCTTTTTAGCTTCTCCTTCCACCACTAGATGGTGCCCCTTCCCCGTTTTGGCCTGGAGGGCTGCTTCCGGTTTTCCTCCCACATCTGCGGCTCGTTGGGTCATCACCAGAGGAGTATTTGAGCTGCAGACTGTCACCACCTCGACGCCAGAGTGTTTGCCGGTATTGGGTACTCTAGCCCCTCTGAGTTTAGCAGAGTCTAATCTTTGAGTTTTTGTCTCCCCGAGTCCACAGTTCCGACCCTTTGTCTCCTTTGTGTTCTCCGGTAGGATTACCCTCCTGATCCGTTGGATAAGCCTGGTCCTTCTACCCCTTTGGAAGAAAATATTCGACTCTCTCTGAGCAAGGGGAAACCTCCACCAGATCCGTTCAAGCCCTCCTCAGGAAATTCTGTGACAGTCTGCTCCGCTGCTCCTCTGGACCCACCATTAGTGTGCCTGTCCGCCCTCCAATGAGTACAATCTTCTCTGGACAATTTCCCCACAAACTGGACCCAGGAATCAACCTAGAACCCCTTTATGTGAGTCTAAACTGAACCATTCATCTGCTTCGATCTATTCCCTACGGTCCTTGAACTTACCACTCTTATCTTCCCCTAGAGAGTTTCCGTTTTCGATTCACCAGACCGCTGGATTTCCCCCATGCTGAGAAAACCCAGTTTAGTCACACTGAGAACCTCCTTTGTTTGTCTTTCCCCCCAAGCTGAGAAAACCCAGTTAGGTCGCTCTGAGAACCTCCTTAGTTTAGATTTTCCCCCCAATCTACAGACTGCATGGAAGTAGTTCTGCTCCGTACCTCTTGGTTCGAAAGGAGAAAAACTTGTCCAAGACATTGCTGTTGGGGAGGATTTTGGTTAATTTTACAGAGAATTTCTTTGTTATTCCTGCTTTATAAAGGTACAGGGAGGTAATCTAACCAAGCATACTAGTGAAAATAACTCTTACATATAAACTAGAAGGATAAAATTCAAGAAATGCTCTAACACGAAAACAAGAGGACTGAGAAGTTAACAATTCAGGCAAAGCCTCATTTTCAACAATAAGAAAAACAATGAAAAACGTGAATCCAGAGGAAACTGAGGTTTAAGGTGTGAATCTCATCTTGCTCACACACCTTTTCAGTGCTATTCTACAAACTGGCAATCTCCCCCCATAACAATGGTTATTGAGGACAATCATTGTAACCTTGGTTTTATCTCACCTTATCCAAAAATGAAGATATTTGTCCCTTTGCTGGCTGTCAGGCTGTTATCTGGCTGTTACTGCCTCTTTTGGAGGAACTGCTTCCTCCCATCTGTGTGTCCATTTAGCCCATTTCACTACTATTTCTTTCACTGAGTAATCATTTCTTTAAACAGCATCTTAACAAGGCCTTTTTGAATATTTTTTTGGTTTTGAATTATGCATTTTAAACCAAAACACACTAATTTATCGTACATTGTTGTTTAAATTGTCTTCATATGATCTTAATACATTACTAAACCAAACAAAGGTAAAACTTCCAGCTTTCTGGACCAAGGATGAATCTAACCATCGGAGGTTTACTGTCCTCTTCCTTACATCTTGGCTGATTTCATTGGATGTTTCCATGATGTCACACAAGGAGCCAAAACATCTGAGGCGTTGCCTTAAAATAGATCCACAGGTGTTCTTCTGTTCAACCCATAGACTTTTGGGTTAATTAGAAACGTACATCATCTGAACATTTAATTTAAAAAAAAACAACCTTACTCTAATATTAGTGTCATAACCTAAATAATTAGAATAAAATAAATATCTAAGCTTATGAAAATCTAAAAGCTCATATAACAAACTACATCTAAAAGGTTGGTTTTACTTCAGCTCAATTTAAATTAAAATCTAGGTTATCAACTCCAAAGGTAAATCAGATGTATCAAAGTTTCTGAAGGCTACTACTATCTGACCTGCTGTAAAAATAAAGTTTCTGTTTTTGTTCCTTTAAATCAGAAAGTGGAAAAGAGTCCTGTCTCATATCTCTGCAGATAAGTTAAGAGGAAAACAAAGATGGAAAGAATGTGCTTGAAAACAAAGCCTATAGGCAGGCACAGGGGACTTAGTGGTGACATGACTTAGGGGCTATTAATATCTCCATGAGGTGTGCAGCCAGTCATGATTAGGAAAAACTCGCCGCCCTTTTTTTTCTAGTAAATGACTCTGACAGCTAATCCATTTATGGGCTTTCTGATGGTGCGTATTTGAATCAAGCTTTGAAGTCTCGTTAAGCAGTGAGGAGTGTCGAATTTAAGGCGCAGAAGCTCATCCACTGGTTCGCTACTGATTTATATCAGTCATTAAACATCTGCCATCATAATCTTTGAAAAGCCCCAGGTGTTTGCTGCCAAATGCAGACCTCTTTATTAAAGATGCCGGTAAGGTTACCAGGCATTACGGATCACTCAACTAAGTATTATTTGATTTCAGCCTTATCACCACAGAGCATAGAGCCCCCTGCTCAGGGTCTAAATCTAGCCTAGCAACTCACCTCCTCCCAAACAGGGAACATGCAGAGCCCCTTGTTTCTAACAACAGGAATATTGATGTTTCTCTGTGGGATTAGTCCTGTTTACGTCTAATTTAAGCTGAAATTAAGATTCAACACTTCAGGTAAAAAGAAATTTGATGTTCAAAAGTGGAATTGCTTTTTCATTATTATTAGTCTAATCTGTTATGTCACATATAGTTATAGGACATCGGCTGTTATTTTTTTTGGAATTCAATTACAAATGCAAAAACTGTCATGTTTGCTTAAAAAAAACCTTTTGGCATATGAATCATAAACATTAGCAGCCTGGAGACAGAACCATAAACCCCCTGGGCATTGACAGTACATTATCTAAGCTTGTGACCAGGTTGCTTTCCCAGTGAAGCATGGATGAGTGCTGATGGGGAGCCATCAAAAGCAGGGCAGCAATGACAGGGTGACAAATGTGACATGGATGGGAGATTATCAAGCACAGTGGGAAGAGTGAAGGATGTGAAATGAAGGTTGGAAATGCTCTCTAAAGACGAACTCTCACTCTAAAACTTTCTGGGTTGCTTCTTTTACCCAAATGATGGGTCTCTGTTGCCAGGAAAGAAGTCTGATATTTTTTAACTAAATAGTCTGTAGAAAATTGTGACAGATTTTGTGTGCAGATCAAACAGCAGAACCTAACAGTTTCTTTTTTTTTTTTTTTTAACTGTCATTTTGAGCTGCCATGTGGCACATTCAAATATTCATGACATGCACTCAGGCATTGCACAGCTGCTCCTCCTCCTTCTGGGGGACTGCAGACCATAGAGTTTGAATGGAAATCAGTGCAAGCATGAGGTGTTTGGTATAGTACAAACATAAAAAATTAAACACAGAAACATTTATGTGAAGTTTCACTGCATGTATGTCATGTTTTCTAAAAAAAAAAAGAAAAATAGTATATCTTGTGTTTGCTGATTTTCTGTAAGACAAAAACACTGAAGTAATGGGAAAAAGTCTGCTAATTCAACAGGTTGACACAGCGGACCCTCACTTTTACAGCTTTATCTCTTTATTTAAAAGCTAAGCTATATCATGCTATTACTTCCTTTTTGTGGCATGACATATGATGCACCTATAACATTCAAAACAGCTGGTCATTTTGAGCTTTTATTGCATGTAAAACTCTAGGACTTGTTTCTGGTAACACACCTGCTAAGTAGTTAGTGCAAGCTCGTCTTAACAGTCATAATTTGACCAAAGAACTGGGTATACTGACCCCATTGGCTATTGTAGTGGGAAAAAATTATTAAACTATTCATCCTAGTTAAATAATAGGAGGTCGATGGATTTCACTCAGTCGGCACATTTATTCATATCTTTGCAAAGATCATACAGTCCTTATGGCACAGCATTCTGCCCTGTTCTGATCTAGGCAGCGTTCATTCCCCCTTACTTACAAAAATGGAAAAGTAGTCAGAGTCAAAACAAATTACACACACTTTGGTTAACAGTAACATGTTATGAATAAACCTTGAGAAAGAACCTGATTTGTTATGGGAAGAAGCTATGTCTGGTCTACAAACACCATCCCGCAGACAATGGTGTGGCCTTGAAAGTGAAACAGACTGAGTGAAAACTTTTATAGTGAGGAAATAGGATAAATTAATATATAATAGAAGAGAAATCTAAACTTGCCGACCACAGCTATCTTTATAAAGCTTTTTATACTTTGCATTTTGGAAACCAGTCTTACTAAACAGCTCATCACAGACAATGAAGATATCATATCTACTTATTTACCTGTTTATTAGGTTCCCCCTACCATCATCTGAAACCCTTTTGTTATTGGAGCTGCTTGCAATCATGTGCTGTGTAGCCAACATTGGGAATGTTAATCAGATCATACAGCTGACACAGATTTGTCAGCTGCAGATCCATGATTCCTTCCCTGTTCCTCCACAACTCAAAGGTGATTTACTGTACTGAGATCTAGTGATGTAGAGGCACACACAACAGGATGTACATGCAGTGAGCAAGAATACTACTGATGTTTTGCAGAGGTGTAGTAATGAAGTACAAAAACTTGGTTTTTGTACTCAAGTACACTTTTTAGGTATCTTTACTTTACTCTATTGCTTATTTTTCTTCCTACTTCTGACTTCTACTCATTACATTTTCACACAAGTATCTGTGCTTTCTATTTCTTACATTTGTAAAACAAAAGTTACTATTGGCTTCGGTTTAATGTTTCTAAATATTTATAATATTTATTTTGCCTAGCCCCCCCAAAAGGTTTGGATCCTGGTCAGCGTTTCCCTGACCTCTGGAGGGTGGCACCATCTGTAACCCTAAAAGAGTTTGGCAAGTATAGAAACTTAATTTACTGTACCTTTAAATGTAATTTCTATTTGTTTACTAATCCTGAGCCTATCCATGGGTCTAACCTAACCTTATTTGTTAATTCAATTTAGGCCTGGTTTTAGTTAGGCTGGGCTTGCATGAGATGCTTTTCACATATTAATCTTTAGAGTTTAATGTTGTACACTAAGATATTATGTTTTTTCTCTATTATCCTCATTAATCAGTAGCTTTAACTACATTCAAATAGCTAATGTTACACAAACTAATCAAAATCAGCCATTTTAACCTTCTGGGAAACAAGTTCCTTACTCTTTTTGAAGTGCTCCTGGCCTGTTATACTCTATAAGGAAAAGAGCAATTGGAGGGAAGCCAAAAAAGATTGTATCATAGCAACTGGCCTGCTTCGAGGAAGCACTACATTATAAAGTGCAAGAGGCTTATGTTGCCAAGCTCAGGAAATCATTATACCTTTCACAACTTTAATAAAAAGATCGTCTTATCTAAGCAGCCGGTGTGATTGCCACCTTAGGGCATTCAGAGTATGTAGGTCAGAGTGGAAATAAACCCACTGCATGGATAAAATCAGGTTATTTAATATTTTATCAAATTTAACTAAAAAATGATGGTGATAAGATGTGATGCTCTTAAGGAGAAATAATTCAAATCAACGCTTAGGGCAAAATGTTTCTACCAATTGTTTCCAGTAAAATGAATCATATTTATGGGAAAAACAACCAAATAAAATTAGGAAATATACTTCAAATACGTTATCAGGAATCGGTGTTGTCCTGCTTCTAATCTATAGGCTAATGTATGTGTGTGCCTGTATATGCATTCCCCTTTTGCTTTTACATGATCAACTTAGTCACACAATTATATGCCCATTTTATTAAAGAAGGCTTACCAAGAAACGTACACTGGAAAAAAAACAATGCAACCGCTTTTGGCATTTACTTAATCATATTTAGTTATTTTAACACAATAGTTTTATTTCCTACCCTGCTAACATGAACCAAATGTGTTAAAGTAACTAAATACGATTAAGTAAATGCCAAAAACAAATTAAAATTATTTTTTTCAGTGAACTTTTATTCTGTTTAAAAAACAAAGCAAACCCTTGTGGTGTTTATTGTTAAGGCACACTAGATTATATTGCCATTGTGTCCAGAGATTTGACCTTCTTCGACAGGTTCAGGTGAATTAATGAAACATTACGGCCATTACATTAGATTTTGGCTGAGCTGTCATTGGACGAAAAGGCCAAAACCTTTCCTCAATGTAACACGGAGCTGATACTGATCCCAAGCCACAAATTATAGTATAATTACTGTGCAAAATTATATAAAACCGACCCATCTGCTGTTATTTATAAACATAGTTTAATATTTTAAAATTCTGAATACAAGCCTTGGATATAGACTGAACTTTTAAAGGGAGACAGTTTATAAGGTCTGAATGTTAACATTATTTGAAATGGTTGGAAGAATAATTCCTTTAGTTCCTCCCTTAAATCAACAGTGATGAATTTCTTTATCTGTAGTTTGCAAATCTAAAGAATATTATGAAATACATGAAAAAACATTCATATTTAGATTTTAAAGTTAGTGACTAAAAGTACATTTATCTCTGTGTGCTTTGGACGGTACAAAAGCAGCAGCTACATACTTGTGCATTCCTTCTGCTGTGGTAGTTCATTGGGAGGATCTCCACAAGTACCAGATTCAAAAGACTTTAAAAATGATTTAATTCAAAAACACTTTATTAATCCCAAAGGGAAATAAAATTTTGCAGTAACTCATAGTTTTTTTTTTTTTTTATCGAGTTGTTGTAGGTGTTGATTGCTGTAGTCAGAAAGGATCTTCTGTAGCCCGTCTGTCTTGCATTGGACCTGGAGAGGCCTCTTACCGAAGACATGCTGTTTAAAAATCTTCTGAAGAGGATGCTCACTGTTATCTATAATTTTCTTCACTTTAGAATAATTTTTCTTTGTGAAATCTTCTCCAGAGGTTCCAGAGGAGTTCCTAGAACAAATCCAGGCTTCTTTATTAGCTTGTTGAGCTATTTGAAGTCATTAGCTGTAATACTGTGACCCCAGCAGAGGATGGAAGAAATAGATCAAGCACTCTCCACAACAGACGTACACTAGTAGCCATTCAAAATGTCCCCACTTTCCTTGATGGATCCCTGGCTGGTCCCCTACAATTCCTTTTTTAAACATAAATCTTTGTACTAAAATATTCTTTCTGTCATAATTTGTGGACATTAAGATCTAAAGAGAAGCACCTTCTCCTGGTCAGACCCTGTAATGAAAACCAGACATCACTGATGCTTAAGTACCATTCGGCGCGGACGCAGCATTAACCCAGTTGGTTTTAGAACTAATTCCCACCTGAAAATATGAAGAATATATCAAGCATAACTCCACAGTTATCAGGTATTAATGCAAACTTTAGCACCTGTGTAGAGATAAAAAATGTAAAGGCATGTTTTTCTTCACTTGGTGACCAACTAGAGGTTTGCAACCCCCAAGTACATACATCCTCTTGAGCAGGGGCGGAGCTAGATGGGGGCTGGGGAGTGGCCATGGCCACCCTTAGCCAATAATTGGCCACCCTTGTGGCCAACCCTACCTTTTTTCCCTCTATACATATGGTGGTAGCAGTAATACTCTCAAGTGGAATGTTCTTACTTATTTAACATTAAAATTTTTCATATATTCACAGTTACTTGACAACAAAAACAACGTGGTTAATTATGCAAATCAATATACTAATAAAAAGAAACAGAATTCATGCTTTTTTCGGAACCAGATGTTGTCTTATGGGGTAAAGAGAAAATTACATCCTTGCAAGTCATCTAGGAGTCTGCAGTTAAAAAAACATAGATAAATAACTACTTCAATAATAAATAATCAATTTAATGTAGATATTAGTAGATTTAAATATTATTTTTATTCAGATTGATTATTGGTAAAAGTATGTAAGTAATGACAATGATTAAGATGTTCGCCCCAGAACTCAAACTTGAAAGAATCTTTTCAACTACACCTTTAAATTAGAAAGCATGGATGTTTAAATATATGTATATTTGTTAGCAAAGGATGTAGGAAAGTATTGTTAGTCTTTTTTTTTTGTTGAAAATATGGATGTAGTGGTTGTTTATTGTCATTTTGGAACAGTGTAGATTAACCCTGAGGTACTGGGGTCAATCCGCTTTCAGCATTTACCTTGGTTATTGCCTGGTCACCCTAATTAACATTTTCTGGCAACACCTCTGCTATTGAGTAGATAATAAAAAATATTTGTTACTACAGAGCATGGTAACCTAAGTTTATATCCTAATTGATCAACATTTTAGCCTCATCTTGACCGAAAAACAAGTAGTTAAACAGGTAACTGAACAATCGTTTATAAAATTGCAAGATATTTGGGCAGCTGAGAAATACCACAGACAAATATTCTAGTGGGAGAATTGATTGTGGACCACAGAAGTGATTCAGCAAAGGGCTGTTGGTCTTTTTCACCAGTTTGTGCAAACACAGGTTAAAGAAAAACATCTCATTAAGCCAAATAAAGGACACATTCTCAAACCTTGGATGTACGGGTCAAAACATGTTTTAACATATAAGTAGAGAAACAAAGCTATACTGCAGATACAGATTATTGAAACAATATCATGAACAGGAAAAAAAGCTAAAAGAAAAACAAAAAAAACTGACAAAGGTGATTGTAAAAGAAAAGATCTGGTAGATTATTCCACTATGCATGGTTTTGGGTTCTATGTTCTTTTTCCATGTAGGGTTCATCATGGTTTCACGTATTCCTGCTTTTGCAGTAGGATACTTCTCAAGCTACATAATCTATGCTGTGTCCAACAAAAAAGCATTAATGTGTAAATGCATCACCGTGTCCTTTTAAGCCACCCTGTGCTTTGATTTCATCCTCACTCTCCAGCTCTGGATTTCTGGGCTCACAGTTGGGGAAAGAAGCCAAGGTTAAGTTTACAAACACTGTCACATGTGATTTATCTTCAGTTTGGATTGCAATGATTTTCACTGAGGTGAATTGCTTTTTTAAGAGTAGATAAGTGTAAAGAAACAAACAAACAGCTGAGGCACCAAAGGGCTGCAATCTAACTTAATCTTATCACCTTCAATAAATCAGAAATGTTTCAAGAAGTGGTGGTTTTCATTACACTGTCAACACGTTGTTTGATCTACTGCCTGTTCCCTGTTTTTTGATGATGATGATGATTATGGAGCCATATGTAGGCAGAGATTTTGCAGGGCTGCCTTTAAAGCCAATGCCTATTTTTATATTTCACCATGTAAACAACTTTTTTGCAGATGTTCCATTTCCATTTAACTGCAATGTACGATAGTGACAAGAGCACAGCCAAAAAAAAGTGATATATGCTTTTACTCCTTTTCAACTCATACGATTTATATTCTTCTAAGTAAGCAATGAAAATGTTGTAGTGGTATTTAGAGCAATGAAAAAGAAACATTTGGGTAAAATTTAAAGGTTAAAAGGTTAACATTTCTATATCCTTTAGTCACCACAAGGGGTGCTGAGAGTCTAACGATGGGACTAAAACTAAACTTTATTGAATGTTTTAAATGACACTTATCTGTGTTAAAAGACAATAGAAGAGTTTGCTTTGATTCTCCTCCATTGGAATTCCTCTGTTCCCAGAAAAATTACAGGTTCAGTGTGTATTTAACTTAAACATAAATAAAGCACATTTTGATTAGTGCTTTTTGTTTAAAAAAGAAATCTTAATTTTTACTTGTTAAAAAATAAAAGTGCTTCGTAATTTACTTTGATTTACATTAAATTCGTCTGGTGAAAAACTACCTAACACCAAAGATTTCCGTCGAGCTCTTTGTCTCTATGTGCCGCTTCCATGGAAACCGTTTTACCCTCATAAGAGCTCTCTTTATTTGTATATACAAATGTGGGAGAGATGGTGTGGCTTATGCTCACATCAAGCTGATTTCAAAGCTCTATAAATAACATAAGTGTTAATTAAAAACATACACGGAAGAAATAACAGGATAATTAATGAGTAACAGCTCATTAGAAGAAGACAAAGGGTGTGAAAATGATTACCCTGACCTTCCACATGTTGCAGAGGCTAAACCTTGATTTCCTAAAGTTTAAAATAATTACAGGACTGCTGATAAATGTGTGATTTTATTAATGGGATCTTTAGGGGAAAAAGGGGGGTGAATTTGAAAAACAAAACAAAAACAATGTTTGATATTAAAGACAAAACATAATTAAAACCCAACGCTTTGATTATTTACAGATTAATACAAAAACAAATAATGAACTGTAAAAGGTAATGAGTAGTATTGAAAGTAAATGGCTGAAAATAAAGGAGAAAATACAGAAAAGTAAAAATAAATCGCAGTGGGTAGCTGCCTTGCAGCAAGAAGGTCTTTCTGCATGGAGTTTGCATGTTCTCCCTGTTCATGCGTGGGTTCTCTCCGGGTACTCCGACTTCCTCCCACAGTCCAAAAACATGACAGTTAAATTATTTGACTTCTCTTAATTCTCCTTAGGTGTGATTGTGTGCGTGAATGGTTGTGTGTCTCTGTGTTGCCCTGCGATAGACTGGTGACCTGTCCGGGGCGTATCCCACCTCTCGCTCATAGACTGCTGTAGATAGGCAGGGATAAGCGTGTCAATGTCCATCCATTTTACGTCACGCTTTATATATATTTATATTATACATAGATATATATATATATATATATATATATATATATATATATATATATATATATATATATATATATATATATATATATATATATATATATATATATATATATATATATATATATATATACTACTGTTCAAAAGTTTGGGGTCACATTGAAATGTCCTTATTTTTGAAGGAAAAGCACTGTACTTATCAATGAAGATAACTTTAAACTAGTCTTAACTTTAAAGAAATACACTCTATACATTGCTAATGTGGTAAATGACTATTGTAGCTGAAAATGTCTGGTTTTTGGTACAATATCTACATAGGTGTATAGAGGCCATTTCCAGCAACTATCACTCCAGTGTTCTAATGGTACAATGTGTTTGCTCATTGGCTCAGAAGGTTAATTGATGAGTAGAAAACCCTTGCAATCATGTTCACACATCTGAAAACAGTTTAGCTTGTTAGAGAAGCTACAAAACTGACCTTCCTTTGAGCAGATTGAGTTTCTGGAGCATCACATTTGTGGGGTCAATTAAATGCTCAAAATGGCCAGAAAAAGAAAACTTTCATCTGAAACTCGACAGTCTATTCTTAGTCTTAGAAATGAAGGCTATTCCATGCGAGAAATTGCTAAGGAATTGAAGATTTTCCTACAACAGTATGTACTACTCCCCCCCTCAGAGGACAGGACAAACAGGCTCTAACCAGAGTAGAAAAAGAAGTGGGAGTGCTTTCCCTTCAAAAATAAGGACATTTCAATGTGACCCCAAATTTATTAATGTAGTCAATAGGAGTTGATGAAAGGTTAAGCAAGTTGACTGTGTTTCTGTGTTTAATATACTTTGCAGACGCTTGAAGGTCACCTTCAAGTGTTCCCTTTAAAGAGTTAATATTAGCTATGCTGTCAGCCGTGACTGCTCCATCACATTTATGCAAATACCTTAAAAGAGGTCAGTTACAACCCAGTATAAACTTATCTACACCAACACAAACTCCTCTTTATAACCTTATAGATGTAACTGAAGACCAGCAAGCAGAAGCTCAGTCTGAATGCTTTTTTTTTTTTATATATATCTAGTTTAGAATATTTCTTGTTTTGATTATTCCAGTTTCTTTCAAGGCCAAATGAGGAGTTTTAATAAATCACCTGGGACAGAAGCCTATGAGGAAGATAACATACAGGAGCGGGAAAATAATTCAGAACCGTCCCATAATGTGACTCCACTTCTGCCGGACTCATGGAAACCATACCGAGGGCTCCGGGCAAATGTCAAAGGTAAGTCATGTGAAAAATGAGCACATGAAATAACATTTTATCTAAGTTATTGACAAGTTAAAGGAAAACTCCATTAATATGGCTCAACATATTTAAGATAATAGATCCTGTCTTCTGATACATCAATCTGTAATTTTTGCAAATAGATTTGGTGTAAATTAGATTTTCTGAATTGCATAATTCTTCTTGTTAACAAGCTGCATTTCTTGCATCAATCTCAAATCCTCTACTTTTGTAAGTACAGTGATAATTTCTTTCACACCTTTTAAATTCTTTCTTTAAGAAGTGGAAAAGTCTTATTAGCAACTGTAGCCTGTTTGTACTTGAGTTGTCCTCTAACAAATGTCTCGCAGCAAAAGCTTTGTAATGCAAATGAAGAAGCAGTGGAATATGTATCTCAATCAAATATTGTGTGGCATGAACATTAAAGGCATATTAGTTTGATGAACCCCACACTATTCTTTATCTTTAAAGAGCTGCTGGTAATGCTGAGCAGAGGCTTGGGAAGCGTCTGTGGCATGCGGTGGTATGGCTTTGCCGCGTTGGGCATGTTGACAGCCATCCTAAGTTTTCTCATGGACCTCAGTGTAGCAAAGCTGCTTCGAGGTAAACACACATAAACATGCATTTTTCCCCTCTATTAGTTATAATCTAGGAAATAAAATAAACCCCTTTCCCAAATTTTCATGTCACAAAAACAAAAATTCAAGATATTCTATTGGAATTTTGGACACCAAACGAAAAAAGTTGTGCTTAATTGTAAGGAACAAATAAGAAGATTTACAGTTTTCAGTATTTATTAGAACTAAAGAAAACAGTTTCAACAACATTTTTCCTAAAGCTGCCCTATCAATAAATTCCTCCGAGGTGTGCATCTCTGTTGCTCTTCCATACTCTAAGCCTCTTTAGCTGCTTCTCTGATTAAATTGACAGCAAAATCAAATGTGTTATATTCCCAGAGTTGGTGTTATATGTTTAAAGTATGATGTAAGTTCACCTGTTTAGTCTAATTCAAAAATTGTGAGAGTTAGTTCCTCCAGGTGGTGTTAATTCATAAATATAAGCAACTCTGTTGATTTAAAAATAAACAATAAGCAAAGTTTCTCCCTGAATACCAACCTATTTGGGAACTCTTATCTAAGATATACGGGGAAAAAATCGATAAAATTTTTCCTTTTGGCGTAGGATCCAGAAATTTAGATTGTCGACGGTTCAAATCCTACCTCAGTTGTCGTGTCTTTTGTAAGACACCTGACTTGCATTGGTGATGTGTTGATGGTGTTCAGATGGTCTGGTAGCTGCCTTGCCTCTGTCAATGTGCCCCAGGCCGGCTTTGGCAGCATTGGATTAATTAATTATTATAATAATTAATTTATTGATACAATCACTTAGTCTTTGGTGCGCAGACCTCAGCAGGAAACATAGCCCTGAATTTTGATAGATATGCAAGAACAGGAGTAAAGAATATGGCTGTTTCCCCCCAGGCCTGAATTTGGTGGTGTAGTCGAGATAGATGAAGTTGGTTAGTCTGTAGACTACTGGTTAGTGAGACGGTCTGCTGAGCTTTATGGGGAGATCCAGTGGACTGTGTGAGCTGATACAAGAGCTTCACTCAGGGACCTGGAAGATGGAAGTCCAGTTTGGATAACACAGGTTGAGAGAACCTGTCCATGATGAGCAAGCATGAAGTGACAGCGGAGAGGAAAATCTCCCCATTGTGAAGAAACCTCTGGCAGAACCAGGCTCAAAATAGCGGTCTTCTGCCGTAGAGGTTGAAATGAGACGCAGAATGCAGTAAGAGTCTGTGAGGAATGAAACTCATAATGAAGTTTTAGCTACGATGTTGGAGGAGGGGCTGCAGGTAGGTTGAAACGGGATCATCTGAATGAAGTCACACAGCGCATCCACCGCCTGAGCACAGGAGCAGACGAGTTGCGGATCGGAGGCCTTTTAAGATAAACTTTGGATGCTGATTGGCTTTCATGGAGGTGTTGTTCAAAGCTGATTGGCTGTGTCGTAGGCGGATGAAGGTGAGTTATCAGTTTATTCCGTTGAACTTACGCCCAGGCTCCATTGGTATTACCACCAGTGTGGTGAATATGTTGAATTTAAACTATTTAGAAAAACACTCTCAGTGTAAACTGTTAAACACTTTCAAAGCGGTTATTTTAACTCGATCGATAGGCACTTTAAAGGTGACACATTTAACTCCCTAGTAATTGAATTAAAATGTTCAAATTTGCTCCCTCTCCTGGCTTTAGTTAAGGTGGAAAGCTATGTCTTTGTAGATTTCTTGTGTACTATTCTTGCAATTATTAGTCTTCAATGAGCATGTTTATATGTGAAGTAGAAATCAGATAACTGGGGACATCTAATTTAAGAAATCCTTGTTTATATGTTGCTAATTTCATTCCCTCAACTTCCATACCAATGTGTTGTTTTTTTTTTTTTTTGCACCATGTTTTTTCTCACACACTGTTTACCTTTGATCACTGCTGCACTTCATGGAATGGAAAAGTTCATTTACTGTCTGAATTAAATGAATTTTCATTTTGTATACACTCTGTCTACATTAAATGCGGTCCAGTTTATTAAACACTGTTGATTAGAATGTTGCCTAAAGTTTTTTTATTAGATGTAGACCGGAGGGACAACTTCAGGATGTCTTCAGGAGTAATTATGAATATTTACCAGCTTTCAAAGAATGTGAATATTCCCAATAAGACAGCAGTTTGTCCTTGTATATGTGGATTTCTGTGAGAGAGAAGGAGGGCCTTTTAACTAAGCCTGGATGGAGGAGGCCCCTTCCAGGAAGAGAGGCATGTGTCACCAATAGGTCACTCTTCCCATCCAAGAGTTAGGAGATGTAACAGATGACAACTGTTGAAAAAGCATCTCTTTATTTAGCCCCTCATATGCCTGCTGTTTGTTTTTCCTTTGGACATGCACCCATGTTAATGAAAGAATTGGAGAACTGTGTTTAAAGGCACAAGCTATGGGCAGTAGAAATGTGATGAGTGATTATTGACACAATCACTTTAAAAAAATCATATAAAAACACAACATTTTTTGTGATGTATGAAGTCTGGGATGTTGTTGTTACATTTTGTTTCTTTTTGTACATTTTTGTACATTTTGGAGAGGACTTAGAGTGACTGGCTGAGGACGGTAAGCTCACAAGAAAGAATGATTAATGAATTTCCAGAGCATTGGCAGAATTATGTAATGTCCAAAAAACAAGGGGCTGCAAACCCCTGGAAGGGCAGATTGAATCACAGACAGTGACAGAGAAAGGGAAGAGTTTGATTAAATTAAGTTACAACTCCTGAGAGATGAATGATACATGCCAACCAGGAAAGTACTACTAACTGTTTTGGTTTTGGTGAAGGAGGGCCTGTGGGCAGAGCACGACTGTAGAAAAAATGTAGATTTAATACATAAAAAAAAAAAAAAATACTATAAAAGTGTCACAGAAGGAACAGGCTAAGAAACAACTGGTAAGATAATCCAGAGCAGAAAACGGAAGAACAAACCAGCAGAGAAAAAAATAGAACCGATGGGCCTAAATACAGAGCAGACACAGAGTGATATCCACCATACCTGAAGAGTTATACAGATAAAATGCAGAGTAAAGGCAGGGTAATTGACGGAGGAGGAAATATTTAATCTGGAAACACAGAAAGAAACCCAGGGAAATATCAAACAAAACCATATAAAGACAAACTTTGACTATTTAATACCAATGCAATGTAACTTTCTTTTTATATACAGCACATTGAATTTATGGAGAAACTAAAGAATCACTGAAAAAGAAAATTTGTTAACTTAAATTTCAAATTTAAATCTTAATCTTTAAAGCATTTCCTAATTACACATTTTAAATTGAATTTTAAATAGAAATTGCAAATTGTATTTATTAATCCATTGTTAAATACTGATACTGATAGATCCTTCATATGCTATTGGAATGAGCTACATAAATAAACTTGCCTTCCTTTTTCTTTGAATATATAAACTAGGAAGCTTAACACGGAAGAATAAACTGATGTGGAAATCGTCTATCAAACAATAATCAGAACAAGAAAGAAAAAGACATGTTGAATGACAAAGTAAACAACAGAATATGGCAAGATCTGGTGGAACTTAAAGAAAATAAAAATATGCACACGAAAAAAAAAAACCCCAAACCCTTCAAGACAGTGAGATTAACAGGAGGTAGTACTGGTGAGTGGTGATCAGCTGAGGAAGGGCCTGAACTGTTAAACAAAACAACTAATTAACATGAATAAATATGAAAAGGAATGTTAAAATAAAAGCTAAGGCATAACACTAGAATGTTAGCAAAACCACAATACATAACACAGAATATAAGTAAAAGGAAGATATTTCCTGAACAAAATTGAGAAAAGAGTAAACCTTGAACAGAACGCTGTAATAGCACCAAAACATCCTAGTTTCCTAGCTACACCTGAATGCAGCATGCACCACTCTTGGGAAACCATGAACAAAATTATCTAACATACAAAAACTGATTTGGCAAAAAAAAGTTATTATGGATTATTTATTATTAATATCGTAAGAAAGCTGTTAGTCATTCATAGATCACTGCATTTATATTTATGTTAAATGATGCTGATGGGCTTTTCAAAGCCAGTCACTTACACCAATGTTGTCCAGGTGCAACAGAGAAAATGGGCTTAAATGCAAATTAATTCATAGTGTCTTAAATGCATCTTCCATATAAAAATTATGCGCTATATTGCTTTTGTCTTTTGTATTAAAACAAAATAAAACTCAGATATATAAAATTATTCAGCCGCTATGGAGACCTTTGGAGACCAGTTTAGAGAATAATAAAATTCTCTTTCATTGCATCTGCAGCTCATCAGTGGCTTTATATGAGACTGGAAGGCCACATTCTGCTGCAGTTTTTCTGCTGGACGCTGTACCCAGCATGCCTCTGTGCTTTTGCATCTTCCTTCTCCCATAACATCAGTCCCTTCTCCACAGGTTTGTAAAGATGTAACTATAGTAGGCTGGTCATGAACAATAATCTGCTCATATTTATTATGAATTCCCTTTAAGTGTTTTTATCCCATATAAACTACCACTAATAAATACTTGACTTGAGTATAATTTTGCTTCACTCTCTAGTAAAAATCTGAAATAAATGTCAGAGGAAAAAGTCCAGATGATATCAGGAAGGAGTGAAAGGAAATGCACCATGATTTTATCACCTTTTTTCAAAGCTTCAAGTGACCCCAGTAACGATGGCTTTAATGCTGAAATGTCAGTGTTATGTTCTTACTGCTTGGCAGGATGGAGGACAGTTTCTTTTTTATTATCGTTGCACAAATCTGAAAGAAAAACATACTATGTACCTCTTCTCTCCTAGGAAAAGACAACAAAATTAACAATAGAGACTTGCATTTTATATCACAGCATTTGCAAGCAACAAATTATTTTTCTGCCACTCAGATTGTCCTTTATATCTCACATAGATTTTCTCAGAATCCCTGTTTAATTATTCCAGGATTTCCATTTACTTAGTAGAGCTTTTCTGTTTATTTTACCCTCTGGGTCATGAGCTATTATTTCATTGTTTTGCTCAGGTTCTGGGATACCAGAGGTCAGAGCTATGCTGGCTGGCATGGAAATGCCTCATTACCTTTCTCTGACTAATATGTTCGCTAAGTTTCTGGGTCTTATCTGCACTCTGGCTGCCGGAAGCACAGTTTTCCTCGGCAAAGTTGTAAGTAATCACTTTGTACAACTGTTTTCCGTATAGATGAATTTATGCAACCAATAAATAATTTTTGTTTTGTTTCTGATTTTACATTTTTGTCTTCTAAATCCAGGGGCCATTTGTGCATCTTTCCACCATGATAGGGGCCTATTTGGACAAGCTTTGCTGTCTAATACAGGGCAATCAGAAGGTAAAACAAATTAGATTTATATCATTTTAATTCATATTGTTTACCTCTAATACGCAGTCTGATATACTACAAATCAGCTACAGTTATTTTTGGTGAATATAAAGGTAAGAAATGTTCTCCACAACTAATGCTTTATATTCTTAGGAGGAGGCAGGGACAGAAATGTTGGTGGTTGCTGCTGCGGTTGGAGTAGCAAGCTGCTTCGGAGCTCCAGTCAGTGGTGAGACATTAGGGAAAGAAAATATATGACTTGCATTACATTTCTATTTTTTGTTTGCTTCTTTTGACTTAAATGCATTCATTATGAAATTTTTACATTTGATTTTTCTCCTTTAGTATAACCATGATAAAGGTTTTAACAAGATATGGTTGTTGTTTTTTTTATTAGGAGGATAAAAGTCTATTTTTTTTCTGTCAAACTTAATCTTTGGAAATTACATTTAATCTCTTTTATTCACCCTCAAACAAAATTTAGCTGATTTCTCTTACTGCACATGCACCATAACAGCAAAGGGGTGTTTAATCACAGTTGAGACATAAAAGTAGACAATAAAAAACATCTTTATTTATGGGTTTGTTTTTTCGTATCACACCCATATTGACTTCTTGCACATTCCAATGGCACAACAATGGATAAACACTGGACTGACAAAGAAAGCAGAAAAGAAAACAAAGAAAAAAAACATAGCATAAAGACCAGTACACATTTTAATTGAATATTGATTACAGCTTTTTTTTACACAATAAGAAAACCTGGCTTTTGGTACACAATTATTTTAATGGGTGAGAGAAAATACATTAGGTTTTTATAATATTTTTCAAGTTTAAAGAATTTTTTTTTTCTCAAGCTGCTTTTTCAGCTTTTACCCCCTTATTTGTCATTTCGTTTTACCATTGTGTACTGCAGACCCATTGAATTTTTAAATTCAGAGGGTGAGACCAACCCTGAAATGTCACAATTAACATATTGAAAAAGATTGTCTATTAATACCTGACACACAGCAAGCCATTATTCCTAACTCTGGAAATAGCTTCCATCAACAATCAGAAGGCACTAGAAGCTCACTCGTTGTTATTTTTGCTTCTTACTTTTGTGGTGTAGGTGTGTTGTTCAGCGTAGAGGTGATGAGCTCTCACTTCGCCCTGAGGCATTACTTCCCATGTTTCTTCTCTGCTGCCTGTGGGGCTCTGACTTTCCATTTGTTCTTTGTGTGGAGCGGAGATGGAGGTAAAGGGGAATCATTCAAACTCTGTCGATCCAATTATTGGTTAGAATGTTTAGCATCTTGGCCAAGTTTTTACAATATTTTTCCCTTTTCCTAGCAGTATTGAGCAGCCCATGAATTAAAATTAAACCTGACTCTAGCACTAGCTTAAAGGGAAAGTCCTGAATATTTGTGTAAAGGTTCCATTACTTAATAATTGACCTATAGTAAATGGGTGTATGCGTTTCTGTTTTAAAAAAATCCTATTTAATGTTTTCTTTCAATGGAAACTGAAGGTAATAGCGAATCCATGGCGGCTAAGCCCAAAGTGAATCCTACTGTCATAAAAACATAACCCTCACTTTGTTTTGTTGTTGAGTTGTTACGTTATTAGTGGCTTGTTTTTACAACAGTAGGCTGACAGGACAGGGGGAATGAGGGTGGGGTACCGACGTGCAGCAAAGGACCACAGGTAGGATTCTAACCCGGGTCAGCCGCGCCGAGGACTAAGCCTCCACACATGGGTTTTGTACGCCAACCACTGCACCACCTGTACGCCCCCAATAACCCTCACTTAGAAAATCATCACAGCACCTTATATACATTTTTTATTTTACCTTTAAATGTACTTACAGAAACTTTTCCACGATTTTTTATGTGCATATGAAGTATAGGTTAAGAAGAGCTTGATGGACAATAATTTAAATCATACTCGTACTCCTACTCGCTGTCTTCATTTGGAGGAGTCAGCCCGGAACCTCTAAGAGAGTGCCCAGAGAGCTCATTTCAGCCACTTGTTTCCGGGATATAACACTTTAGTCATCGTACAGATTTTACGACTAATTCACCAATACACTCACTGAATGTGGCGAGCTACATTGTAGCCACAGCTTCCCTGAGGCTCCCTGACACAAGCGAGGCTGTTGTAACCAGGCGCCACTGGGCGAACAGAGACCCGTACTGCAAGAAAAGGATGGATGGTTGATGTCAGGTTAGGTTAGTATATTTTTTTCATTTTTGCTAACTTGTATACATCTTGCAAGAAATTTTAATCAATTTTAGCGTGAGGGATGACTGGATGGTTTCATATAGCTTTCACTCCAATCACACTTCACATCTCATAATGCTTTGCAAGGCAAGGCAAGGCAAGGCAAATTTATTTGTGTAGCATAATTCAGTACAAAGACAATGCAAAGTGCTTTACATGATTAAAATATAGGAAAATAAAACAAAATCAGAGCAAGTAGAAGAAAAAATAAATAAAATAAATAATAATAAAAAATGCAGAAACAAGAAAGAACATTAAAAGCAGTTGAACTTTTTAACTAGAACAGTGGAAGGCAATCCTAAACAAATGTGTTTTTAGTCTTGATTTAAAGGAACTCCGGCTTTCCGCACTTTTAACGTTTTTTTACAGCAACTAACCTCACCTATTACACAGTCAGGTACAGCAAACCTATTCAACACTTTTCTTCTTGCCTTTAAATGGAGAAATCAACTCATCCCTACTGTGTTACCAAGTACATAAATAGAGAACTAAGAGTTTATCAATGAGTTTACATTGTTCTGCTACTGAAACACAAAAATATAACCTGCATTTTATGGCAAAGTCATCCTATAATCTTTTGAACTGATGGTAGGCATGACATATACGGTAGAAAAGGTGAAAATTAAATATCTCTGCTGAAATTTTGCAATTGTTGTCTTTCTGCATTTTCTCTGTTCTAACAATACTGTAACATGCTTATCAGGTTTTATACTTCCTACATATATTTTTGTAGAAGTTCCACACATAAACATCAGGTTGACGTATTGGTAATTGGTAATGCAAAAATCTGCCACACCCTGGATGGTTCAGTATGCAAAAGTAATGAACAAAAAACTCATCCAGAACAATCATATGCAGATTTAAGTTCAGTTTTCTGTAGCACAACTAGCCTAAACATAGCAGCCTTAGTTATCACTGAACTCTACTTGGTAACATTCAGGCTAATACTATAGGGCATGTAGTTCACTCTGCACTCAACATTATTGACACATCAGAACTTTCAAATGAAGATTAACATAACTATATTGGTACGTAGCATTCAGGTTGGTAGCTGAAAAATATACAGCATAGAACCTGAATCACATGAGCTGATGCAAATCCTAAAGTCGGAGAAATCTCCTTTAATAAAAGATTTCCCAAGGGTGGTGTATGCTGCATTCAGGTACAACTAGAATGTTAATACATCAAAACAATTCCAAAGGGATCCATCCATCCATCTACGCTTAATCCCAAACGGCGTTGAGAGGGGTGCTGGTGCCTACGTATCTCCAGTTGTACACCCTGGACAAGTCACAACTCCATCACAGGGCAACATAGAGACAAACAGGACAAACAACCATTCACGCACACACAAGGAGAATCTAGAGAAGCTAATTAACCTAACAGTCATGATTTTGGATTGTGGGAGGAAGCCAGAGTACCCGGAGAGAACCCACGCATGCTCAGGGAGAACATGCAAACTCCATGCAGAAAGGTAATCAAACCCAGAACCTTCTTGCTGCAAGGCAGCAGTGCTATGCACTGTGCCACTGAGCAGCCCTCCAAAGGGATTTATAATTGTTTTAGTCTTAATATGCAGAGTGATTATATAGGGTATCTATTAAGGTAATAGTTATGCCTGGTTATTCTCACATGTACCCTTTAAAATAAATCTCATGTCAGTTTTCTCTTTTTGACATATTAGAACAAAGTAAAATCAAAATTAATTCTGAAATTGGCCCAGAAATTGTCTTTGTCTTCGTCACCTACTGCAGTGGTTCTGTGTTTGTTACCCCTGAATGATTACATTTGAATGAATGAATTAAATTTTCCTGTGATGGACTGGCGACCTGTTTAGGGCGTACCCCGCCTCTCGCCCATCGACAGCTGGAGATAGGCACCAGCACCCCTCACGACCCCACTTGGGATAAGCGTTAAGGAAAATGGATTGATGGATGGATGAATTTTATTTTCTTCACACTTAGATATATAAAACTGAGGCTGAGTACTTTCAAATAAGATGAAGATTAGAAACTGATACAAACCTGGTTTCCAGGTCATCATTTATCTAAAGCACAGATTGCATCCCAATTTGCAGTCAGTTCTTTTAGTGTTTGTATATTAATGTTTATTCTCACATTGCCTGTCTGTTTATAATTACCTGCAGTTGTATCATCCATTATATCACCTGCTTATGACCGTTCAACAGAATGTCACTTCAGAAATCCCTAATCATTTCTTTAAAGGAGCTCAGAGACATCTTCTATTTCAGAGAACAAGGGCTAATTATTGTTAAATCTAATGATTTAACGTGTGAAGTTATTGGTGTTAAAAGTAAATGAATCATCTGCAGTACCATTGATTTGGGAAGATGCCTTGGGAAACGTTAGATTTCATTAAAGTATTATCCCAATAATCAGAGTGAATATTAGACGCTTTACTCGCTGTTGGAAACAGATGATTCCAGTTTGCTTTGTCTCCGCAGAGACTCTTCAGGCGCTGTTTAAAACCAATTTCCCCACCTCTTTACCTTTCTTCCCGCTGGAGATCCTCCTGTTTGCTCTGCTGGGGTTAGTTTACTTTTACAGCTTCTGCTCAGTTAAACAGGTCCTCTATTTGTCTTTGGCTACTTAATAAAAACTGACATTTGGTTCTCTATATTCATAAAAGTCACACTAAGATAAGGCCTTCTGTTTTCCTTCTGTTCTAATTAGTCATCCTCTTTTTTTATTTCTCCCATCATATAATTTCCTGGACTCCTCCCCATCCATTCCCCAAGTCTAATGCCTTCCGATCGTTTGTTGCTGCCTGAGTGAAAATAAGTCCCTGGTTTCTCATCCTGGATTGTGTCACTGTCTGAAAACAGGCTGCTGTGTGGAGCTCTGAGCTGCTGCTACCTCATTAGCCACAGGTGGATCCTTAAGTTCACCAAAACCAACCGGTTCTTCTGTCAGATGCTGACAACAGAGTGAGACTTCTTTACGTTCTGACAGGCAGACGGTGGGGCCTTCGGTTCCATTATGCTACAGATCAATTTTTTTATTTACTCAGTTTTTTTCTGGAACACACAAAGCAAAACTATTGATTCATATTTGCTGTTTTTAAAGAAGAACTGAAATGCTTGTGTTGTGTAAAAATCTCTCTGCAGGAAGGGTCTGTACTCAGGTCTTATTGTTTTCTTTCTGGCATCGCTGACGTTTCCTCTGTCGGCCGGTCAATACATGGCTTCTAAGGTGGGATTTAAAGCGTTTAAAAGCTACGCAATCAATAACCCTAATCCATTGTTTACTATGTTATTCCTTGTTATCAAAACCTAATTCACTTTTAGTTGATTTGGTTTCTGATTTTGGTTCTTATTTTTATTGGGAAAAAAAGCTAAAGTCTTATCAAGTAAATGAGATGGGTGCTCTTCATTCAAGCGATGTTTGTTAATCCTTGAGAACATAAAGTCTTTCCATTTTTTCTGCCTCTTCTGGTCACAGAGGATTTCACTAACTACTTTAGAAGCACAGGATGGATTCAACCAGACTAAGTAGACAGTTTTTTTTTTTCCAAACAGGATAATTTTTTAAATAATATTGAGTCTAAAGGGGTCCGGCCTTTTACAAAACAAAAAAAACAGCTTTTGAGGCGTGGAAGATAAAACTCTAGCAGGCATTTTGCTGAGCATAAATAAGAGTGTTAAAATAAATTTTCCCATTACAATATCAAGTGATAGAACCTGTTAAAGATGGGACGTTCTTTTATTATACTATATTTAAAGAAGAATACATTCTTTAAAAATTTCTTTCAAAGCAAACAAATTATAAAAATAAGGAGTATATATTTATTCAGCTCCCTAAAACAGTATTTTATTAACCCACCATTTATTCCTGTTAAATTCTTTTGGGGTATTTTCTTACCAACTTTTTTCTCCAAGAGACAGATTTTTTAAAACCATAGACTTCCATGAGCAATGATCTTCAAATCTTCTTCTCAATGGCTGTCCCAACATCCGCCCTAACCATTAACCCTTTAGTCACTAGAGCCCTTTAACTCTGTTAACTGACAGTTCGAACAGATGATCACTACTTATTATTTTCACATGATTCCGGCTCCCTGCACATCGCCTGCTCTCTGTTCTCTCTTACTCCTAAAACAAATCCCATGATGCTTTGCGAGGATAGCTCTTGCAAAGCATTCTGGTATATATCTGCTCATGTACTGACCAATGCTTGCACACTACTTCTCAAGGTGTATCGTGGGAAATCTTGAGTTGCTGACTTTTTCATGCACTAGAAATTCAGACACTCATATAAAATGACTAGTATATAGGGGGGAGAGCGGACGTTCAGACATAGCTAATGAATTTATTAGAAATGAATATGCTTTAACCAAACTCCTTCATCAGCTGGTCATCCATGAAATAAAGGCTCCATCGAATCTTCCTCCATTGTGGCCTACTTTCAACTCCTTTTATTTCCCGATCAACTCTAACCAGCTGCTTTAAACACATTCTTCTTCATCCACAACAGGATGCCTTGATGTTTTGCTACTGCTCTTCTGTTAGGCCATAATTATGGATGTCCATTTAATATTTGTCAAGTCAGCAGATTCTCTAAACTGTGTGCATGTCTGCAGCACCCCGGGATTCATTGTTCCTCCTGTCACTTTAAGGACACACCTGTATCTGAGCACAGCTGCAATATTATTTCATAACTTAACCCTGCTTCAAACCTCTGCTCAACTTTCTCCCTGACCTCTCTGCTCTGTTATTTGATCTTCATGATGTTGTTCGGCTGGATTTACCCAGAGGTTAAAATGCAGACACACAGACCCTATTTACCAAATAGGTAAATTCTGATGATAATTCTGTGATTTTATGTAGGGGTATCAGAGTAAAGGTTGCATGCCACATTTCTCAATTTCTCATTTGTAAAACATTTGAAAACTGCACCCTGAAAACTGATTGGTCAATACAGCCAAATAATTGGTTGAATTTCACCAATCTGATTGGTAGACATGTGTCCAACTAATCTTTTGGATAAAACAACAAATCATCAATGGTAAAATGGAAAACCTATACAAATTGGTCACTTTACCAAAATATTGCTTATTTTGTGTAATGACAATGAAAGCCGTTTCCGACGCCACTGTCGCCACTACATCCATAAATATTCCATGCTACATTTGACTACAGCCAAACAGTCAGAGCAGCAAACCATCAGTTACTATTTTTATTGGCTGTTTGGTTAATCCATTAAATTGGTTGATCCACAACTAAAGGCTTGGTGAGGTTCTGACCAATATATTGGTATTCTAATAAAAATTGTTTTAACCAATTTGATTAGTTGTTTTTCCAAACAATTCATTCTTACAGGGCATGTTTCAGTTATAAATAGATATTTTATGTATCAATGTGTGAATTATTTGAGATGTGGTAACTCAGGGTAGTTAAGGTACCATCTTAAGTGTTTTTGTTTCACAGCAGTCTTCCTTGTGACCAAACAGTAACATAAATGTCACATATCTGTGTATTAGTATACCACAAAGCAGCTCCTTACTTCCCTTCTGGAAAGCAGACAATGGAGCTCTCAGTCCCATAATGCATCTGTGCTGCTGGCGTCGCTGGAGTGGAGCTCATCAGGCACCCCCATTTTCCTGTCTTTGGCTTTCTTTCTGCTCATGAAGGTACACATAATCTAAAGGTCATTTACTGAATCTGTTCTGTCAGCTTTCTAACTTCTCAAAGGTTTAAAAGCATTAACATTTTCACAATGAGAGCAGTGAACAAAAGCCAGTTTAACCTTTCAGACTGAAATGTTTTGTGACACATAATGTTAAAACAGAGTCTTTCGATGTAAGGGATAATTTTATTGAATCTTTTGATGTTGAAATTTTAGCGCTTTGCAAGCTGATGGCATAACAACCCAGTTCAAAGAGGTAAATCACATGGGGAAAAAAAGTTTTGAATGTAGATTTGATTTTTATTCATTTTAAACAGGCTGGTGGTCATCATGGATTCAGCACATACTTGAGTGCAATTTGTTCAGGAATGGTTTACTCTAGTTTTCTTTTTAACTCTGTTTCCAAATGCAAAATGGAAATAGTATTGATTCAGTATTTATGAGTGTAAAACTGAGTGGTGCAAGCACACAAGCTGGTAGTGACTCATGGTCGGTGCAGGTGTCAGCAGAGCTGGGAGGATTTAACCGTCTGTTCCTCTGTTGTTGATTCTGAGATGTGGATGTTGGTCCTGGCCTGCACGCTGCCTCTGCCAGCCGGATACTTCATGCCTGTGTTTGTCATCGGTGAGTAACGAGACATAACTTAAACAAGAGAAAGAGACAGGATTATGGAGAGATATTTGTTCCAACATTATTAAAAGCAAATTACGTGGTTCAAAAAAGGAAATTGAAAGAAAATGCATTTTAAAAAAGGAACTTTAAAAAATTCTAAATCAAAAAGTCCAGCCAACATTTTTAGTTTGCTGTTTATTCAGATTTTTTTAATAATTTTTTTCAAATAATACGTCGGTTTTTTTTTTTTTTTTTTTTTTACTTTTTTGAGATTTTACCCTGAATGAAAGAGCAGATCAGACTTATTTTTCTCCAAAAATATGGAAAAATTTATTCTGAAAGAAGTTATAAAATATAGTGTGGTAAAATAAAATGTAAATGAATATTCAAAGAACAAAAAAAAAAATGGAAAAAATACAATCCAAAAGAAATTGCAAACTATACAAATATTGGTTGAACCTTTGCATATGCACTGAAAATTAATCTTAAATCATTTTATTTAATTGAAGAAGCATTTTCTTCCATTTTCCTTTTTTCACACCTGTTTTTTGCTTTTAATAATAGGGAATATCTTGTTCTCCATACAGGATCCTCATGAATATTTAAAAATGTTTGGCGCACTGCCATCACTTTGAGCCCATTTTGAGATTTTCTCAGATGAAATATAATTTTACTAGTATCTTTACATTTACATAAAATATATGATTTTGACATGTAAAATAAGTTTAAACTGCTGATTATGATTTATCTGCTTATTGCCCAAAATAATTAAGCATATTTCTCTGTTTTTGGAACCAGAAATATTTCCACACAGCTAAAACTGTTTTTGTTCTACATGAGGATAAGTATGGGCTTATTCCGCAACTTCTAGAAGGCATAAAAAAACAATGTAAATATAGTTAGTTTTAAAACTTATTGTAGTGTTTGTTTCAGAGTTCCTTTGAAATATGCTTTTGAAATCCTTGGCATATTTGAAAACCAATACCCTTTGAATGCTATATTTAAATCCAATGTAAAAATTCATAGAGCATTCTGTACTTCCACAGGGGCAGCCGTTGGCCGTTTGCTTGGTGAAGGAGTTGCCTACATGTCCTCTGGTGGGGAGACTCTGTGGATATCAGTGAATCCTGGAGGTTATGCTCTAGCAGGTAGAACAATACAAACTATCTATTTGATCCAAATGATCATATGAATGTATGAATATGAAAATATATATATTATACATAAAACTGTTGCTAACAAGAACAGCTGGGTTACAATTTTGCACAAAGCTTAAGGATTTAGCTTTTTTTACGAAGTGAGATCATAATTCTTCCCCCTGTGGAAGAAAGATGTCATTTCACCACAATCTTATTGCAAAGTTCTTATAATGAGCCTTAAGCTGAAGATGGTCAGGCTATTTTTTTTTCTTCCAAGAATTGTGGCACTTTAGTGGAAAGAAGGGGAATCCATGCAGCTCAGATCTCTGGGTTGTAATTAAAGCCAGGGATGGTTTCATTGAGGTCTCAGGCCTCCACACATCGGATGTTCACTATATGCCTGCATCACCACCTCACCCCCGGTCAGGATATCATTATGTATGGAAATGAACTCTTTCCAGATGAAGATAAAAACTCTGAAGCCTCATACCTTTGATTCCAGTTCCAGCTGCCTTGCATTTTTTCCTTTACTCCCTCAGTATTTAAGCAGTTGCTTTTTCATCTATTTTCAAAGGAAATGTTTGTTTGCTTTCTGTCTTCATGCTTGGTATTCATCATAATCACGTTCTTTCTATCTTTGTTATGAATAACTTAACAAAAACCAAACAGACAAAAAATACTTTCTGGGTTATTTTACTTCATTGTCCTTTTTACTAAAACAAAAATAAAATTAGGTATCACTGCTATTACTCGAGTCACATTTCTAGCTACCTGTTGTAACTTCCTCCAGGGAAAAACAAGCACAGAGACACACACAGTTTATGTTTAAGTGAGGCCTATTTTTTGTGCTCAAGCTTCAATTCAGAAATTCTTTATTGATCCAAAGATAAATTAAATTTCCAATCCACTGATTCTGAAAATAAAGCAAACTGTTTATTGTTACTGCATAATAATTTATACAGTATTCATAAAATATACTGTGACCATTGCCTTTGTGTGTATGAGGACTTTTGAGGAGTATTTATTTAACCTAAATTATTCACTGCTCAAAAAAATTAAAGGAACACTTTGAAAACACATCAGATCTCAATGGGGAAAAAATCATGCTGTTTATTTATACTGTTATGGACTGGGTGATGTGTTAGGAACAAAAGGATGCCACATCATTTGATGGAAATGAAAATTATTAACCGCAGCATAACATCCTCCACGGCTTCTCCAGACCTGTCTGTCATATGTGCTCAGGGTGAACCTGCTCTCATCTGTGAAAAGTGGCAGACTGTGGCAAATGCCAATCGAGCTCAACGGTGCCGGGCAGTGAGCACAGGGCCCACTAGAGGACGTCGGGCCTCAGGCCACCCTCGTGAAGTCTGTTTCTGAATCTTTGGTCAGAGACATTCACACCAGTGGCCTGCTGGAGGTCATTTTGTAGGGCTCTGGCAGTGCTCCTCCTGCTCCTCCTTGCACAAAGGAGCAGATACCGGTCCTGCTGATGGGTTGTAGATCTTCTACGGCCCTGTCCAGCTCTCCTGGAGTAACTGCCTGTCTCCTTAAATCTCCTCCATGCTCTTGAGATAGTGCTGGGAGATGCAACAAACCTTCTGGCAATGGCATGTATTGATGTGCCGTCCTGGAGGAGTTGGACTGCCTGTGCAACCTCTGTAGGGTCCAGGTAGCGCCTCATGCTAACAGTAGTGACAGTGACCCTAGCCAAATGCAAAACTGGTGAAAAAGAGTCAGAAAAGATGAGGAGGGGAAAAAATGTCAGTGGCCTCCACCTGTAAAACCATTCCTGCTTTGATGGTCGTCCCGTCTAGTGAACACCAAAGCAGCTGAAACTGATTAACAACCCCCTCTGCTACTTACCTCACCAAATCATTATCCCAGAAGTTTAATCAACTTGATGCTATACTATTACAAAGTGTTCCTTTAATTTTTTGAGTAGTGCATATGTTTATTTGAAAAACTAGAACTTGCATATAACTTTGCATTGAATACATTGAATTTGCATAATGATCATGCTATGATCATTAGTAGTATGTATGTGATTTACTCGGTGCATATTTACTTGACTAGAAATATCATAGAGTAGTGAAACTCTAACTTGAGTACAAATTCTGGGTACTCTTCTCATCTCTGTGGATTTCAAATAGGTTTTCAGAAAGTCACATCTAATATGTTATAAGGTGTTGAACAAAAAAACAACAACCTTGCAATTCATGTAAATAAGCTGGTTGCAGAGGTATAATTGTACATTTATCAAAAAGGTCACTTATTGTCCAATCTTGCAGGTGCAGCTGCCTTCTCTGGTGCTGTAACCCATACACTGTCTCCAGCCCTCCTGGCTGTAGAGCTGACAGGTCAGTTCAGCCATGCTGTACCCATCCTCCTGTCCACTGTGCTGGCCAATGCCCTGGCACGCTCTGGGAACCGACCGTCCTTCTATGATGCCATCTCTATCAGTAAGAAGCTTCCATACCTGCCCTCACTGAAGAAGGCGTGTCACCAGTAAGAACAAACACAAAAAATTATTAATATGATTATTTATAGTATATTGGAAGAGCCCGTTATAATCTGTAATATTGGCTTAGTGTCACTTCTTGGGAGATTTTCTTGTTTCACTCTTTTACATCAGCGTATATAACAGCAAATGGTTATATTAAAGCTCCAGAGGGATGCCAGTAGGGTTTTCCACAGCATTCATCTCTGCCTCTGAAATTATAAGTGCTTGGACTTTCAAATAATGAATGAGAGTTTTTCCTTTTTTAATGAATATGGCTTAAAAATAGTTATTAATCATTATTTATTATTATTAAGTAATTGATGTGCATTATTCAACCGGCCATCAGAAGGTAGAATAAAAAAAACTGGAAAAAAACTCAACTTGTTGATCAGTTTAGGTAACATTAGTATCCATCACTTCAAGACTATCGATTCAAATTTCGCCAAATATCAGTTCAGAAAGCACCAAAAATGTCCCACTGGGATTAATCAACAAATAGCAAATTTATCGACAAAATCACTTATTTTTACTTACAGAAAATATTACATTTTTATAAGCAAGTGTTTGTCAGCAGTTAACATTGAAATCCAAACTCTAAATGAGTAGCTGTGTCCAATAACCAACTTCAAGATTAAACTGGACCTAAATAACCAAATAAAAGCCAAAGTAAAGAGACTTTTATGCAAATTTCATTAAATTTATACCAAAAAGGAAACCAAGACTGAACAAGAAATGTAATAATATGAAATGGTTTTGGTACCAAAAATTAGAGATCTGAAAGATGGGATAGCCAAACCAAAGCTGTGCAGAGTTGTGTCTGCGATCAGGACTGTTCAGACAAGATTGGAGAAATAAGATATCTGCATGGAGCAGCAGCACCTGAGGAACAAAGGACACACCTTAGATGGCCATGATGTTCAGATCCTGGACACAGATGGTTTGAAGGGTGAAGGAAAAGAGAAAAGCTTCTGCTAAACAGAAGGGAAGGATCACAGCTTTCATGCATCTCTAACCCTAGTTTCATTATCACATTAATGGAATGAAGTTATTTGACATAACTGACTTCTGGGTAGTTGTAAAAACAAGCAAGATATAAAAAATAATAATATAATTTTAGATTTTTGGCTTGTTAGTTAATCCATTAAGAGAAATGCTGTGGCTGAAATGGACTTATTAAATGTGAATGTATCTGAGCTGGATCCTGTTTGTTTTGATCTAAAATCCCTAGAGATAATATTGTTTTTACATCAGTGCACTTAGAGGTTTTATTTTGTTCTCAACTGTAAGCAATTTCTGCACTAGCTAGTGTGTTCAGCTAAAAAATAAACTGCCAATACCTGCAGCCCTTTAAGAGGCTTGTAAGATCGAGCCCGATGTTTAAATAAACTGAGCTTTTGCTAAGAACCCAAAAACAAATGATCATCAGAGCTGACACACATTACTAACTGATGGTTATTATATAATTCTGTCACGATTTGAATCGAGGGTGGTTGAGGACCCAAATGTAGAGACTGAAAGGCAGAAGGGAATCTTGCAAATTTAATAAAGTAGCTGAGGAAAAATCCAAAAATCCACAAATACAAAGAACCCAAAAAAACAAAACATTGGGGAAAACTCACATGGGAAGCCAGAGACGAGGGAAACAACAAAACAACAACAACAAGGAACCAGCACTGAGGTGGAGTATATAAGGCAAGGCAAGGCAAATTTATTTGTATTGCACAATTCAGTAGAAAGACAATGCAAAGTGCTTTACATGATTAAAATATAGGAAAATAAAACAGAATCAAAGCAAGTAGGAAAAATAAATAAATGCAGAAACAAAAAAAAAGAACATTAAAAACATTTGGACTAAAGAAAATAAAAAAGTTGAACTAATGATGTTTCAGTTGAACTGTTTAACTAGAACAGTCGAAGGCAATCCTAAACAAATATGTTTTTAAGGGAAGCAGAACAAAGGATGGATTATGAACTGAATAAGGAGCAGGTGTGAGTGGAGCTAACTAGAAGAAAGCCAAGGAGAAAGGAAACAAGCACAAGAGGGCAAAACAGAGTAACTAAAGACTGCTGAATATAACGGAAAATAAACCAAAGACCAACAAAACAAAATAACTAATAATGAAAACTAAAAACTCAGAGTCCCAAAAGGGAAGAACCATGAGAAATTCCCTGTATTCCATGTTCCCTCAGCTTTGATGGATATATAATGCTAAACAGCTAAATGTAAAAAAATATATTCTGTCTGCACTTATTTACAAAAAAAGAGTTTTTCTCAAATTAGGAGCGTCATTTGCATTTAGTGTTTTTGTTTTCATTGTCCCACTATCGTGGTTGGAGCTGGCATAAAGCTGGGCTTCTGCACCGAAATGCAGACAGCTACACCAGTTGAGCATGTTTGTGAAAGGGCTTATACTGATTAGGAAAAAAACAACAACACATTTACAAAAACAGATGATGTGCAAAAACTAAGGCGAACACAAGAAACCAGTAGCAAACAAAGCAAAAGGCTTAAAAAGAAGAGAACAGCTGCAGACATGGGGTGAAAGAGAGAAAGTATTACCTGGGCAGACGGGGAGAAAGTGAGAAGAAATGAACATAACACAACAAAATACATCCCTATACAACACTAAAAGGAATCAGAAGCTCAAAAACAAGGGAAAAAAGGATGCCTCAAAACGGCTTATTAGTAATAACACCTATTCCAGGTAATTTATGTCAAAATTTGAATTCAGAGAAAAAAAAAAAAGAAGAAATATCTTTTTCCTCCCTGAACATCAGTTTCTCCTTTTGGCTCCCTGCATGATTTTTTTGTAGTATTATTTAACCCTGGCCGGTATGGTTGGAAGTTTTACTTTTCTTAATTGTTCTTTTTTTTTTTCTTTCTTTTTCTTGCAGACTTTCCTCCAAACCACTCAGGCAGGTTTTAGGAGTGAAATCAGTGCAGCTTCAGATAACAGCTGGGCCAGCAGAGGTCCAGGCAGCTGTCAACAGCAGCAGTGAAGCACAAATCCCTGTGGTGGACTCCCATGGTACGCCTAGAACTGTGAATATACACACCTGGGTCTCAGTATAGAGACTCAGACCACTCCCCAAAAGCAAAGCCAGGAGAGGATGTGGATCACAGACACATAATACATAAAAAGCCTTCAGAAATTATTGTTAAACTCACTGTTACTTTGAGAGATTGTTTGAAGAGAGCAAAAAGTTGGAGAGGTATTGAGAATCATTCACAGGCTGAGACAGTTCATCGGTGTGAAAGTGCTCACTGAGGCGACAATTTCGTGAAAATAGACTTCTGAGCATTTCAGCAGCAATCATATGGGCAATTTTTGTGTCTGGGACCTTTAACCCTTTCTCACAGAGACTATACAAATGGCTTTCTTTCTTCTTTGTTATTGTCAGATTCAAAGCTTTTTCTGGGTTATGTTCTGCGATCGGAGCTGCTGCTGTTTCTGCACCACTGTCGAACTCAGGTAAAGGGCTGCATACACAGGCAGGGATCTCTGCAAAGTTTTAAAGAATATCAATTAAAAATAATTCTTATCTTTAGCATGTGTTTGAGTAAAAAAGTAAAAAAAAAATATGATGGACCTCTGATAGCCTGGTGTCAAAACTGATTTAATGACTCACATAAATCTGAAAATAACATTTAATAACAGATAAATGCTGCTTATTAAAAAATTACACAACAGTTTAGGCCAAAATTTTATTTCAGGAAATATGAAGAGATTTTTAACAACAGCTAAAGCCGACGAACCCCACCACATGAAACGAATTCTAAATACTTTTGTGCAGAGTATGGGGGAACGGCTGGATGAGGTCTGCAGCATACATCAAAACTCCATCCTGGTATCAGCTGACACTACAGTAGAGGAGGTAAGGAGAAACAGAACATATTATATCAACCCTAGCCTGGAAACAAGACATAGATCAGAACAAGAATTGGCCTTTTTGGCCACACCGTGTTTATGAACAAGGATTTCAGCTTCCACTTTGCTCCAAATGTACAAATACAAATACAAAAACATGTACAGCTGTTTGAAAATTAGTGTCTCTTAGTTTGTACATAAGTAGGTCTGATTTGATTAGGACAGACAGGCTTTGCATGGATCTGGGTGCAATGGTTATTGATGCAGTTTGACCCTGTCATGTTTTGTGAGCTTTTAAAACGAAGGTGCATGGATGTAGTTTGACATCCAGAGGTTATCAGTGACATATGACAACGCATGTTCCACTGTATGGGTCATCCACATCCATGATGAGTTGGGTGTGGGTTTGGGTGGATCCGTATCAGAGCCGAGGCAAACCTCTTATAGTTCAGTGAGGGTGTTTCTGCCTCAAGCGTCCAGAGAAATTGTTTCTAGAGGAGAAACTGCAGAACTGAAATGTTTTATGGAGCGTCACTAGAAATGAGCAAAGCCTGAAAAAAATATGGAGCCATTTTCTGAGGTGTTTGGCATTGGCTAGTCCTGATTGCATTTATTTTCCATGCTCACATTCTCTGTAGGCATTTACATTCCTCTGTCTGGAGAACTGGTCTTTAGTGGGACTGATGTTCCTCAAGGTTCCTCTTGAAAACTGGTTTGTCGTACAAGTATACAAAAGCAAAGTTGTTCAAAAATCTCCTTTGAAGGTCTTTCACTCAAATTTTAACAGCAAGAGCCGAGGAGTGGCGATCCTTATACATAGGAGCATACAATTTGTAGAAACCGGCACTATAAAAGATAAACATGGACGATATATTATTGTGGTTGGCAAACTATACAATATGCCAGTAGTTCTGGCAAACATATATGCTCCCAACTGGGATAATGTTCAATTTTTTATGGACTTATTCTCATTATTACCAAATTTAGACACTCATAATCTGATTCTGGGGGGAGATCTGAATTGTGTCCTAGATCCAACTTTGGACCGTTCTAGTCCAACACCCAGTGCATTGAGTAAATCAGCGCGCTGCATTAACTCCTTTTGTAAGGTATATGGTGTATTCGATCCATGGAGATACAATAATCCAACCTCAAAGCAGTACTCATTTTATTCTCCACCTCATCGAACGTATACCAGGATTGATTACTTTTTACTGGACAAGAAACTGACCCCTGTAGTAACAGGGATTGAATATTCTGGTATAGTAATATCGGATCACAGCCCAGTCATATTAAAACTCCGTTTTCCAGAGAACACGCCGCCTCAAAGAAGATGGCGCTTTAATAACAGGCTCTTGGCTGATGACAACTTTACGGAATTTATAAATTCACAAATAGCTTTTTTCATGGAGTTTAATGATACCCCCGGAATAAGTAGTGTTGTTCTGTGGGAATCCTCGAAGGCCTATATTCGAGGACAAATAATATCTTATAGTGCTGGAGAAAGGAAAAGGAAGATAAAACGCACCACAGAATTAATAAAGGCAATAAAAGAAGTTGACCTGGTGAATTCCAGGGCCCCTTCTGAAGAATTATACAGGAAGCGTATTTTACTCCAAACCGAATATGATATCTTAACAAACCAGCATGAGGAGGATCAATATCTTAGAGCGAGACAGAACTATTATGAATATGGGGATCGTGCAGGGAAGCTCCTCAGCCACCAGCTAAAACAGTCAGCAGGTGCTGGTATGATAGTGGAGATAGAGGATAACCTGGGGAATAAGATTATCGATCAGAAAGATATCAACAACCAATTTAAGTCTTTTTATAAGGATCTCTATACCTCTGAAATAAATGATAAGGAGAAAGTAAAAATGTTTTTAGAAAATATGGAAATGCCAACCTTACAAACGATGGATAAAGAGAGATTAGAGGGACCCCTGACTGCAACAGAGATAGAGAAAGTGATTAATAACATGAAGACAGGCAAGGCACCAGGCCCGGATGGGTTCCCGAGTGAATTTTATAAAACATTTGCCTCTAAATTGATACCCCTGCTCGTACGAGTATATCAGGAAGTCCTCGGAAAAAAAACCTTACCCCAAACAATGTCACAGGCTATGATCTCAGTCATTCTTAAGAAAAATAAAAATCCATCTAAATGTGAATCATATCGCCCAGGGAGTCTACTAGGATGTGATTATAAGATATTGACTAAAGTACTAGCAGCGAGGATTGAGCCTGTTATAGGTAAGATAATACATCCCGACCAGACAGGATTTGTTGCTGGTAGACAACTTTCTAGTAATCTCCGTCGACTCTTCAACGTGATATACACTGGGGAAGGTAACATCGATCCCGAAATTGTAATATCCTTGGATGCCCATAAAGCTTTTGACAGAATAGAGTATCCTTATTTATTTATGGTCCTGGAGAGATTTGGATTTGGTCCAAAATTTCGCACATGGATTGAATTACTATATGCAAATCCTCAAGCTATGGTAAGAACGAATAGTATAATATCTGACCCATTCCCTCTGTTTCGCGGTACAAGACAAGGGTGTCCTTTGTCGCCCCTGCTCTTTGATCTGGCAATCGAGCCCCTGGCAATAAAGCTGAGAAATGCTGCTGAGCTCGGCGGAATACACAGAGGGATACAAAACCATAAACTCTCGCTGTACGCTGACGATCTGCTTCTTTTTCTGTCAAATCCTGCCACAAGCATTCCGGTGGCTCTAGGTATTGTTGAAGACTTTGGGGGGGTTTCAGGTTATAAAATTAATCTAGACAAAAGCATTTTGTTTCCAATTAATGAACAGGCGAGGAAATTATCATTCCAGGCCTATCCTTTTACAACAAAGAAAGACAAATTCCAAAATCTAGGTGTTACGGTAACAAGCAAATATAAAGATCTATTTAAGCAAAATTTTGTAGTAACAGCAGATAAGGCTAAATCAGATATGGAAAGATGGTCCACCCTCCCAATTTCATTAGCAGGTAAGATAAATTCTGTAAAGATGATCATAATGCCAAGGTTCCTGTTTTTATTTCAGACAATACCAATTTTTATTCCAAAATCTTTTTTTAAAGAATTAAATAAATGTACATCCAGCTTTATATGGAACAAAACAGTCCCCCGGATTAGAAGACAGTTTTTGGAGAGACAGAGAGAGGAGGGGGGCCTAGCTCTACCAAATTATATGCATTACTACTGGGCAGCTAATTTACATAAATTGTTGTTTTGGGTCTCACAGCTAGATGAAGAGGAAACTCCAATATGGGTGCATATGGAAAGGTATGCATCTAGCCCAATATCTCTGAATTCCCTGATGTGTGCACCTCTGCCCTTAAGTAAGCACTTTTATACAAATAACCCTGTGGTAAGAAATTCTATAAAAATCTGGGTCCAATTCAGATCCCATTTTAGAAACAGAAATGCGCTCCTATCTGCTCCTGTTTACAATAATCACCTATTCTCTCCAGCTTTAGGAGGAACAGCATTTAAAGAATGGCATAGAGCTAGGGTGAAAGCTGTCAAAAATCTGTTTAAGGATGGAATACTTATGTCTGCGGCTCAGTTAGAAAAAGAATATGGAATCCCCTTAAAAACCAACTACTTCAGATATTTTCAGATTCGAGACTTTGTAAAAAAGACATTCCTTTCATCTTTAGAATCATCGCAGAGTGAGTGGATAGATGAATTATTAGATATGAATCCGACTATTAAGGGGACAATTTCTATGCTCTACACTAATATTCAAAGGATGACTTCCCCATCCCTCGACCATATAAAAAGAAAATGGGAAGAAGAACTAGGGCTAAACATCACAAATAATGAATGGAGGTGGGCGGTAGAATACATTCATTCTTCATCAGTGTGTGTTAGACATGGATTAACACAATTTAAATTGGTACATAGGCTTCATTTCACCAGAGATAAACTGGTAAGAATGTTTCAGGGAGCCGATCCAACTTGCCCGAGATGCAAACAGGTGCCAGCCAACACATCCCATATGTTTTGGTCCTGCCCCAAACTCAAAGAATTCTGGATTGAAATCTTTAAAACTTTCTCATCTGTCTTCAGGAAAGATATTGAACCGGTCCCTCTGGTGGCCATTTTTGGTGTGGCACCGGGGGGGATAGAATTAACGACAGCTCAACAGAAGGCAATGGCATTTTCTTCGCTGTTGGCCAGGAGATTGATTTTATTTAATTGGGTAAAGGCAGCACCACCGACATATAAACGATGGATAGAGGAGGTAATGGCACACCTAAAGCTGGAACATCTTCGATTTACGTCACAGGGTACCATTAAGAGATATTTCCAGATTTGGCAACCTTTTATTTCCTATTTTGAATCCGAGGTTCAATCTGCTTCAGCATAATCAGCATTTTCCCTTTTTTTTTTTTTTTTTTTTTTTTTTTTTTTTTTGCGGAATTATTATTATTATGATTGTTATTCATACCAATGTTTTTGGTTTCCAACCCATGGATGTCTGGAACATGGGTTATATGTGCGGGTGTAGTAATTGTCTTGTTGATATTTTTTTTTTTTTTTTTTTTCTTTTTTTGTTTGTGATGTCGTTGTGATGTAATTATGGAGTCTTTTTGTTTTGTTTCGTTCTGTAAGCCCTGGATGGGGTGTTTGTTGCTTTAATATGAAAAACTAATAAAAAACAATTTGATTAACAAAAATCTCCTTTGAGTATAATTAACAAGTGGTTGAGAGACAGCTGGGGCATTTGTAAGGCTTAATTGCATTATGCTGGTGAAGATTTTCAGTCATCCATGTCATAGTTATTCCAAAAAAAAAAAAAAAATCCACTGGAATTAATTTCCAGGTTTGATGACATTACACTTTCCACCCAGGAAGCTTTTTTCATTCAAAATGTCAGAATTAGTGTTGAGTTCGAGACTTTATAGAGTGGCATTGTTTTGGCTTAGAAAACACGCAAATTTGTCCTGAAGAATGGCCCATTTTGACTTCCTTGTTAGCCTTCAATA